TTGTGTTAGTTCTAGTGATAGTGCTAGTGTAAAACTAGAACTAACACTAGACCTAGAACTAGAAACATTCGGGTTTAGCCGCACGTCTCTCAAGACGGCTAAACCCGAATGATTCTAGTTCTAGGTCTTGTGTTAGTTCTAGTGATAGTGCTAGTGTAAAACTAGAACTAACACTAGACCTAGAACTAGAAACATTCGGGTTTAGCCGCACGTCTCTCAAGACGGCTAAACCCGAATGATTCTAGTTCTAGGTCTTGTGTTAGTTCTAGTGATAGTGCTAGTGTAAAACTAGAACTAACACTAGACCTAGAACTAGAAACATTCGGGTTTAGCCGCACGTCTCTCAAGACGGCTAAACCCGAATGATTCTAGTTCTAGGTCTTGTGTTAGTTCTAGTGATAGTGCTAGTGTAAAACTAGAACTAACACTAGACCTAGAACTAGAAACATTCGGGTTTAGCCGCACGTCTCTCAAGACGGCTAAACCCGAATGATTCTAGTTCTAGGTCTTGTGTTAGTTCTAGTGATAGTGCTAGTGTAAAACTAGAACTAACACTAGACCTAGAACTAGAAACATTCGGATTTAGCCGCACGTCTCTCAAGACGGCTAATCCCGAATGATTCTAGTTCTTGTGTTAGTTCTAGTGATAGTGCAAAACTAGAACTAACACTAGATCTAGAAACATTCAGATTTAGCCACACGTCTCTCAAGACGGCTAAACCCCAATGATTTTAGTTCTAGGTCTTGTGTTAGTTCTGGTGATAGTGCAAAACTAGAACTAACACTAGACCTAGAACTAGAAACATTCGGATTTAGCCGCACGTCTCTCAAGACGGCTAATCCCGAATGATTCTAGTTCTTGTGTTAGTTCTAGTGATAGTGCAAAACTAGAACTAACACTAGACCTAGAACTAGAAACATTCGGATTTAGCCGCACGTCTCTCAAGACGGCTAATCCCGAATGATTCTAGTTCTTGTGTTAGTTCTAGTGATAGTGCAAAACTAGAATTAACACTAGATCTAGAAACATTCGGATTTAGCCGCACGTCTCCCAAGACGGCTAAACCCGAATGATTCTAGTTCTACATCTTGTGTTAGTTCTAGTGATAGTGCAAAACTAGAACTAACACTAGACCAAGAACTAGAAACATTCGGGTTTAGCCGTACGTCTCTCAAGACGGCTAAACCCGATTGATTCTAGTTCTAGGTCTTGTGTTAGCTAATTAACACTAGACCTAGCACTAGAAAGTATCGTGTTTAGCCGTGCATCTTCCGTTGATTTAGAACTAGATATTGCTAGTACCAGTATAGATACTGCATGTTAATACATGATGTTTTTTCATTTAACAATTACATAACTATTAATCACAATCAGGGTGTTTTAGTGTTTTTAGGAATGTTTTTGATCAATTTATTCCGTAAATAATACTAGAGAAACGTATCGAGGACTAAAAATAAGTCCAATACACTATAAGTAGGTAAAATAAAGTGTTTTCTTAAAATTCGACCAATATATAAACTACAAACAGATTTATCAATGTAAAGTTTTCTAAGTTATTTTTCATACTCCATTAACTATTATTTTATAAACAAACTATTCCATTACGAAACTTATTCCACAATAAACAACCGAGTACAATTTGTATAGAATTAAAACAACCCCCACATTGTACCAGTACAAAATCATAATAGGAATTTTCGACGCAAATTTCATATAATATAATTTTTGTGGTACTCACCACCATAATATATCACGTTCTACGCAAATAGTCCCGCGAAATTTTATTATGTCGGACCACATAAATGCGTCCGACCTCAAAACCCTCCATTGTCTAAAAGATTATTAATTTCGGAACCAGAAATTTCGAGTATACAATGAATTTGTATTTCAAATGTTCGAATTGAATGCGCACCTACCATTTTCAATGTTAAATCATCGATATCTCGCAAAATCGTGTTAATCATTATTATTTACTAGGATTTTATCAACTTAAGTGGCTCTCAATATCTCTAATGTAGGTCTCTTTTTACCTGTTTAACGCTACGTTGGATCTTTAATCTAATGACACATTTACATATTTTTAGTTCAATTTTATGTTATATCTCTATAAAAAATGAAATTTCCTTTATTATTAAACAAGCAAAGCATAACTACAGTTGACAAGAGGTAACATTGGCAACTCTATACACTATTGATCGTTAAGAGGAAGCGTTTATGGGTGCGTTATACCAAGGACTGCTACACCTATGCTTTGTAATATCACTGTATAGTTGCTTTAACGTCCCATACATTGCGAAATTTACTCGTATTATGCACAAGGAGATCGTTCCTTTTATGGTGTTGAAACTGGAATGTTCTTTTAGTTTCCAATTAATGTTACTTCCAGGAAATTTCTAAGAATCTTCTTAAACAATAAAGAGATTGACGCGATTAAATTAAATCCTAAAACAAAACAAAAAAAATGATATATCTTCGGTTTTTTCCAATCAATCGAAAATGTCGTAAGATTTTTCTGAAAGCATCATCCCAAAACATCATTTATCACTCGCCCTGTGCGAGATAATCCCGATAAGTCACCCCGTTCAGTCCGACGAAAAAAAAAAATAAAATAAGGAAGCGGAAAATGATCTCGACTCCGTCTTAATCAAGGAACGTGGAGCCTTCGTCTTCGTTGGAGAAAAGCTCCGATTTCGATCCCGAAGGAATCAATGTTTGCCGGAGATCGCGCGCCGCAGGAGCCGTCGCAGAAAACGTCGCAAGGGCCATGGGGGGCACGTGTTTACGATCGCACCAGCACGTGCGGACTGCTCACCACGAGCTCTACTGCGACCGGAGTAATAAGGATTGAACGGTTCCGGAAGTAGTGAACTACCTAAGAGATGCATATCAATTCGCAATACGGTCTGTAAAGTTGCTAAAGTTCTAAGATTTCAGTTTACAGTTGAGATATATTACAAAGATTTTGAATTTTATGTGAAATGAAACATTTTAAAAATGTTAAAATAATATCAATAATTAAGAATCAAAATAAATAAAAATTGAACAAATAACTAAACTATCACGGACATCGTACAGTTTCAATTCCACTCCATTTAGCAACTAATTTTTTTATTACCACAATCAATGTACTAGTTTATAAGACAAATAGCTCAAGTATTGAAGTAAATAAAAAGAATTATCGAACCTCACGTTATTCGGCAGTTTTTGTTTTTTATTTAACTTATTAAATATTTTCGCAATTCTGCAAAAGTTGTTTGGTTTTTGTATTGATGTAGCGCCTCGCCCACAAGCGACCTTGACTTAATTACGCTTAATATCGTGATGAAATAATTAAGTATGATGCGTACTTTACTTACAGCTCTTAGACTTCATGTAGTTTTTCATTAGCAGTATTTAGCTTTCTGCCAGCAGTGTCTAATTATCTACAAAGATGATCTAGTCCTCAATTAGTAGTAGTTTTAATTCTATCAGATATATTTTGTGTGCCAGCATTATCTAGTCTTCTCCAAGCAGAATCTAATCTTCTATTAACAGTAATCAATCCTCCACCAGCAGTACTCGGTATTCTGCAATCAGTATATAAACTTCTGCCAGCATTAAGTAATCTCATCTTCTGTAAAAACGACTTAATTTTTTATAATTTACCTTCTGTCAGAAAAATCTCATCTTCTGTCAAGTTTGTTTTATCTTCTGCCAACTGTATCTAGTCTTCTGCAAACAGTGTCTAAATCTGTTTCTAAAGCAATATCTATTAGCACCACAAAGTCTTCTCTTAGGTCTTCAAAGTGGTTGAATATAGCTGTTCAAAATAATCCAAGTATGTAAATAATATTTATAAAATATAAGAAAAACAAGATAATTTGTAACAACATCCAAGATAAAATAAATTTTATATTAGGGTACTTATTTAGGTAGTTTAAAGGGATTTATACAAAATGTGTCATTTAGGACACGTCTGGACATGTCGAGACCGGTCACAGCGTGCGTCCAGGCCACCTGGTGTTCCAGTCGGAACTGCTCGCGTTACCTAACTCAATTATCCGCCTTCCCCGCCGAGAAATGTCATTACACGGGAAACTCGACGGTCGCCGACTGTTACGACGAGGGTGATAGCTACACAGGGAAGAGGGAAGGACCGGAGCCCTTCTTAGGCGCCCCTCGACGTCCGCCGCCTCCCGACACTGACAGATTGCATTACACGAATAACTCACTGGAATTATTATGTCCTAACGGGTGCCCCCGCTAATTTGACGCAAATTGTCTATTTAAATCGGCGCGGTACCCGACCGGATCGGACTGATTCATGGTTTGCTTTCAGGGGGCGCTTCGAAAATTTAATTGGCGCCTCCGAAATTGCGGATCAATTTGCCCGCGGGAAGTGACGAAACCGTATATCCGTAACCGGCCGGAGACGGAACCCTCGCCCGTTCGCCGATAAAAGCTGCCGGGTGGTGTCGAAAAAGGGCGCTCGAAATTGATTCCCTTCCTGTAGGTGATTGATTGATTTGATATATCTTTTCGAATTAGTTTTCACTCTCTCAAAAAACTTATTGGGGTTTAAAAGAAGATATCAAAAAAGAATTCTTTAATTATTACTACTAACCCTTTTATTAATTGGTTCTTTTTATTTTTAGGAAACTGCATGGAACAAGAATCAACATCTAACTTGGTTGGTCACGTGTATTCTTGGGTAATTAACACATATTTAGGGATGTTATTGCTTGAGAATACACGTAGCTGACAAGTGACGGTCAACGAAGAATCTTCTCCAGGAAAATCAAATAAAAAAGGATACATTTATTTATATGTTTTGTAAATAATAAAATTTTTTAGAGATATTTTTGTTATTACACTCAGCACCTCCACCAATTATATTAATTTTCTAAATAAAGATTATTGTAGAAATTATTTTTGTATTTTATTACCAATACCCAAAACAAAAAAAGTGATTAATTGTTAAACAAAATGAGGTTTTAAAAATTAATTAAAAGAATTAATCTCAATAACGATTGTATATCAATTTATTTACAAACTAAAAACCAGAGTAAACGCTTTTTTTTAAGCGCGCATAATCTACCTTATAAAGCATACAAGTTAAAAACAAAGTGAAATCGAACATCCACCTGAATAAAAAGGAGTTTTTTTAAAACGTTTCGCATCATCGCTCTGTCGCCGCTAGCAAACTCGAATCGATCTACGTCTACGAACGCAAACCAACGTGCCGAGATCTACTAAAGTTCTTCTTGCGTCTTCGTTTGGCCATAATTTAAATTTTTTATTTACTATAAATAATATAATATTTAATAACATTTAAACTCCTCGATTGGCTAAGGCTCATCGGAACCACCGCTCGGCCGTATCGATGGTCTATCCGTTGTCTGGCTGGCCACTGCCGTAGTCGATGTCAAGGGTGAAGTCTGCTGTCCAAATTCGACCGAGGCAGGTGTTGTTTGGCTCGTTTGGGTTGAGGTGATCGGTTGCGCGGACGTACCAACAGTGGACATATGCGTTGTCGACGTGGACGTGGTGGCCTCGGCGACACTGTTTGTGGTCTGTGTGGTCGCTGATGACCTCACGGCGGACACTAGTTGAGACAGACGTACGGCCAACGGGTTCGCGAATCCCGCGACAATCCTGGTTTCGCTCTGAGCTGTTTGTCGCAACACCTGTTCAATCTGCGCCTGGTGCAAGATCGCCGGCAACTCGTAGTGATGGAAAAAGTATACCATAGAATGCTGAAAGCATTTAATCACCGCTATTTTTCACTTTTCAAGGGTTCGTTTATGACAGATCTTTTTGATAAATATAAAATGGATGTCAAAAATGATGTTTTTTAAGTATAAGTGTCAATTACATACTTGATATGATTTATCAATGTAAAATATATAAAGAACGTACCTGAATAAATAACCAAGAACAAACCAATGCTAATCCGCTGTATTGACCGTTGAAACGATAGTGATAAGCGTAGAATGTGAATTGATACAGGTAGAAGAACCTACAGAAATAAATAAAAACATGTCATAAATGTGATATAAATAATAAATTTGAATTATATAAGATAAAAATCCATAATTAAAAAAATATATTAATATTAGTTATTAGGTTTAATTAAATTAATATTAAGTAGCGTTATAGTACATAAATTGAAGATGTGGTCACTATTATATCACAACTACAAGATTTTTAGGAAGAGGTTACAGACGTTGTCATATTTTTGAGTGTACCAAATAAACATCCCTTGAGATGATTGAGTTAACAATAAGTACTTCAGAATTATGCCAACACAAAGAGGCACATAGAGGTACAAATCTATTGTCTACATATTAGCTGCTTGCATAAGATACTAAAGAAAGAATAATAGAAGACTAGATATTGCTATTGCTAATTGCTATTACTAGTAGCACTACATGCTACTAATAATGGTTTAGATGCTATTAGAAGATTATTCAATAAATGTAGAAGATTAAACATTGCTGCCAGAAACTACTTACTGCTTGCAGAAGACTAATTACAGTTGACAGAAAAGCTGTTTGTATAAGATTAGACACTGCGTGCAGAAGACTAGATATAGGTAATGAATCAGTATATACTGCTGGTAAAAAGTTAGGTACTGCTACTAATAAAAGAGTGGGCACTAGTTGCAGAAGAAGAGTTGTTGCTATAAGACTCTTCCTATTCGCAGAGAATTAATTAAAGTTGGCAGAAAGTCCGATACTGCCTATAAGAGACTAGATCATCCTTTTGTAGTTTCAGCAAAATATCCAAATATCATAGTATGAAAAGAAAAGTTGACTTAGGTTAGTTTTGTTTACAAATGTCAATCATCTCCCGAAAGAATGTTAGGTAAGGTCAGTTTTGTTTTGAAATCCAATTATAGCGTGAAGAGACCCTAATTATAGCGTGAAGAAACCCTGATTATAGCGTGAAGGAATGTTACGATAGTCAGTTTTGTTTTCGCCTGTCAATCATCCCGGAAAACAATATTGGGTAAGGTTAGTTTTGTTTACGCCTGTCCATCACTCCGGAAAAGAATGTTTGGTAAGGTTAATTTCTCATAATTTCTTTGACGTTTCATCTATGAAACAATTTAACATCGACCTAATAAGGTGATGGAGCAGGTCTGGAGATGGAGTGAGAGAGTGTTTGGAAGGGACATCAGAAAGATTATGTTTGATGGATTGGTGAGGAGTGCAATGATGTACGGGGCGAAAGTTTGGGGATGTAGAGAGGCAAGATATTCTAGAGGACGTACAGAATCGGTACTGGCGATGGGTTCTGAGTCTGGCGAGGGAAACATCGGGGTATATTGTGTGGGAGGAAGTGAAGGTGGATGAAATGAGGGTGGGGGCGGACAAAAAAAGCAGTTAAATATGAAGAAATGATAGATAGAAGACCATACTGCGGGATTCTAGGGGAGTGTTGGAAAAAAGTTAGGGAGGTGAAGATTAGATATGGTAAAGGGGAGAGGAGGGAATATTAGGAAAGGACACGTTATTCGGAGGCAGAGATAAATAACAGAAGAAGGGAGGGGGTGGTGATGTGGGGACAGGAGAGAAGGACGCAAATAAGAGGAGAGAGCGAACAGGCACTGGGTGCAGTGATGGGCGCTGGGTAAATACCCAAACAGTACGTATAAAAGTGATACAAGTAAAAATATATCAGATTCCGAAAAAATTAAGAGGAAGATGATGAAATGGACGTTGAAGACGAGGAATTGTCAACGATCGAAGAAGACGTATTATCATCAGACGAATCTGTCGTAATTTAGATTAGATCAAGTTATTATGATTATTATCATTAAGCCTTTGTTGGACATAGGCCTCCCCTATTCTATTCCATTCGATTCTATTCTGTGCTGTCTGAATCCAATTGTTGAGCTTTGCCACAATGTTGACCACAACATTTACGCCAGTTCTTCTTCATAGGTCTTCATTTCGGTCTTTGAGCCTCCTAGCAGTGGCTACTGTTAATGTTAAAAAGCGAACATGCATTGATTGAAAGCCTCTCTTTCCAAATATATATTAATATCGCTCTTGAACATGTCTCTAAGTTTCCTGTAGGGTACTCAGTTTGCTTGCTTGATTATCTCTCGATACACGAACCTCATGGCCAAGATACACATAGCTGTCAACCCTATCAATCTCATTATCCCCACTCTTGATGGTAGACTTGGGAACAAGATTTGTCATAAATTTTGATTTCTTTACGTTAATATTTAGCCCGACTCTTGCACATACCTCCTTTAAGTCGTTCACCTTTAGTTTCATCTCTCCAAGGCTATCCGAAATAAGAACTATATCGTCCGCGTAGCGTAAATTACTTAAGCATTTGTCATCAATGTTTATGCTTGTTTGGATCAAATCCAGTTGTTTAAAGGCATTCTCCAGGACTGTGATGAACAATTTCGGTTCAACATTGTATCGCCTTGTTTTACTCACAAACAGTACTTTACTATTTCTACTCTCTTCAGTACTTTTATGCAACTTTATCGTCATTATAGCATTCTTGTAGATGTTATAAACAAGTTTGGTGTATCGATAACCGACTCTGCAATCTTGAAGTGCTTGCAAAACTGCCAACAACTCAATTTAAATTAAATTTTATAAATACCTCTAAATAGCCATCTTAGGTAAATACCCCCAGGTATATATCCAGGAAATTTACCTTTGAAAATAAATACCCGGGTATTTAACAACACTGACTGGTGGACGATGTGGAGAGGTGATGTCGGCCGTGCGGAGAGGATTGGGAAATGCTAGAACATATGTTGAGAAGATGTAGCGAGTTGAAAGAAGAAGAAAGAAACCGAAGGCAGATTCTGGTAGAAGGGGGGGAAAGCTAGGGATGGATAATAATAATAACAGGTATTGTAATGGAAAAGATCGTTAACTTTTAGTTAACAATAAAATCTCTTATATGTATCAAAAAAATACCAACCTAAGCCTACTACCCAAAAATTTAATGACTTAAGAACATTACTTTGCATTATAGTATGGTTATCACCTTAGCTACGTTAACTTTTAAATCCATACAATCGTTTTAGAAAAGATGAGAAAAAAATCTATCAACTCCACTCAATTCTTCGTAAAAAGTTTCCCGTACAATGTTTTAATTATAATACTCCATTTTTGGTAATAAGTGAGATATTTTTTGTCGTTTTCGCAAATTTTTTACTTTTTGTCAATAAGATAGCTCGAAGTTTTCGGCATTAGCAGTTTCTCATTACACTAATGACACTCATAACATGTAAGCTATTTTTTTTTCTATCTCTTTTAGTTTAGGATGTAGCCTATGCGGACAACGAATTTGGGACACCTGTAGCTCCCATTCAATATACAGGATGTTTTAAAACAACGTTTAAATATTTATAGGGGTGGTACTTCAGTCGAAAACAAGTCGAAAAATATTAATGAACATGGATCCGCAAATCAATCGTTTCCAAGATACAGAATGTTAACATTTTTTGGGACTATACGGTTTTTCTTTTAAATTATAACTACTACAGATTTGATACTTGGCAAATCGATACAGCATGAAACTGTCTCTTTTTGAGGGTAGTATAATGTCTCCATTGCTTCCGGTTGGTATAATTTATTCCATTATAAAATTTTTCGATTACCACACCAGTAATCTAACGCCAGTAATTTGACTTTGCGAAATCGATTGTAATGGTGTTGTATTCAAATGCTGAAATGGGCGATATGGTGTTTATGTACGGCCGTAACAATAGAAATGCTTTGTGAACTATTAACTCGTCCAACATACTTTGATTTCTTGGAATACACTCTTACTCAACTTTTGGAAAACTTGCCGTTAAATCAAAAACTAAATTTGTATCGTTAGAAAACATTTGAATGAAAAATTTCCAGTAAGATGGATAGGGCGAGGGGGTCCCATTGCAGCCTGCACGTCTCCGGATTTTAACCCATTAGACTTTTGTTTGTAGGACTATTTAAAAGGTTTAGTATACGCGACACCTGTAAACGATCTTGAAGACTTGCAGCAACGAATAGAACAGGGTTGCCGGACAATTATTTGAAAGAGTTCGGGCTTCCTTTAAAAATAAATAACTATACTTCTAACTTCACCTTAGTTACTTGGTGTACCTCAAGGAAGTCACTTGGGTCCGGTTTTATTCCTAGCCTACATTAACGATATTTACGAATGTTTTCATCACAGTGAAGTTTTGCTTTACGCTGACGACTGCAAAATATTTACTAAAGTTCAATCAACTTCTGATTGTGTAAAACTTCAAGATGATCTTAATCGTTTGCAAAATTACTGCACAAACAATTTTCTTTATCTAAATTATGACAAATGCATACATATTACCTTCAGCAGAAAAAGATACACCGTAGGCTATGATTACAGACTTTGATCGGAGTACTTGAGAATTACTTCTAGTGTAAAGGATCTGGGTATCGTTTTCGATTTTAAATTGCTTTTCACAAATCATTCGGAAGAATTATTCTCTAAGGCTAATAGGATTTTAGGTTACATCATTAGAATCTCCAGACCTTTTACTAACCTATAATGTATAAAGTCCTTATACATGGCCTATGAAAATAGTGTTCTATATTATGCATCGGTTGTCTGGAATCCTGTATATGCTGTGTATATTGACCGCCTTGAGGGATTGCAGAAAAGATATTGATATTGCAGGTCGACATTTTGAACATCTTCAGTAAAAAGCTTCGTTTTGATGAAGCTTATGACCTTGTACGTTTTGTAAAACTTATAAAAACCGGAAGTATTAGTATTACATTGTGTCAATTCAATTTTTCTAATAATTTACTTTAAAAACTATGTTCTTTCTCGGAAACCTTCAGCAATACACATTTTGTTTTGTAATTAATGTTGTTTAGAATTAAACATCTAACCAATTGTTAAATAAAATTTTTGAATTTTCTGAAAAATAGTGGTATTTATCATCATACTACTCTCAAAAAGAGACAATTTCATACTGTATCGATTTTCCAAGTATCAAATCTGTAGTAGTTACAGTTTAAAAGAAAAACGTAGAGTCACAAAAAATTTGATCATCCTGTATCTCGGAAACGATTGATTTGCGGATCCATGTTCATTAACACTTTTTGACTTGTTTTCGACTGTAGTACTACCCCTATAAATATTTAAACGTTGTTTTAAAACACCCTGTATGTAAAATTGGAACATCATAAAATTATAATAATTGCGTTATTAGAAGGAAATAAAATAATAAAAAGAATTATTTGAGATCTTATTTCTAATAACACATTGTATAATTACACTTATAACTCTCTTGAACAAGAACATCTTGATTAGCACAATAAAAAGGGTACGTTTTGACCTCAACACTATAATTTTGTGGGTTGACAAACACTCGCGTAAATTCGGTTGGAGACGCTTGCAGTAATTTTGGACCAAGGGAGGACCGTCATCTATCATTAGTTAATGAGAACTCAATAGGCCGTAATTTCGTGAGGAGCGCCTCGTATACGACGAGGGGGCGTGCACGGCGCCGCGGCCTCGCGGACGACCGACGACTCTTTGTAATTCGCCGGGCATTTCTTGTTTGCCTTCATTCGTGCGGTCGCTTGTTTACACCGTAAACACGCCCTGAATGGCGCAATTAAGGCCGATCAAAGAGAATTATGACATACAGTGTGCAATAATGATGCGCCCTCCTCTCGTTTTCCATATCAAAACGCTTTCTCCCTTTCTAGCTATTGCCGTCGTCCCCTTTTCATTCTGGGTTTACAAGTGCCCGTTATTCAATCGTCCTTTCTAACGTACAAGTATCAACAATAAAATTGAAATTAAATGCTTTACAATAATTTTTTTTAAAAGATACATTTAATTCTCAATGTAGTATAATCATAAATTCACTTCTCATGGTGTAAATTTAAAATATTGGCTATAAATTGTTGGTTATAAATTATATCATATACGATTTCGACAAAATTTAGTCGATATTTTCCGTGAAATTGTGCGACTCTTAATTCGATTTACAACTTTAAGCTCATTAGCGGCTGCATTATTCAAGTTTTGGTATCAAAATCGTTTTAGAAACTTCATGTCCGCTCAAAGTTATCGGATCCCAACTGATTACGATTGCATTATATAAATCAATTTGGCGACAATGGTGGCCAGTGTGCCACGACGTTCACGTGGTTTCGTCACGTGCACGATACTCCACGTGACCCGCACAAAGGGCCTTTCGCCCCATCACTTCCTAGGCCTGCATTGAGCATTGTTACGCTATTTTGATTACCAACCGTACGAGCATATTTGGCTTGGTTAGTTTTGTACTTGACGTTCGTATTCCACGCCGTTTATATTTACACGTGTAGTGAAATACATTTTAACATTGTTGTTAATTTCAAATGATTTTTTTTTAAATTTTATAACGAAATTTGATTTGCTTTGCTTCTTCCATCAGTTCCATCAGATCAAATTCTCGACTTGCTGTTTAAAGGATGTAAGTCTCATAACGCAACATCTTCCTGTACAGAGGGTGGTTCAAATTCGATGTCCGAATAGGCTAACTCAGAAACTATAAGAGTTAGAAAAAAAGTAGCTTACATGTCATGATCTCTTTTTTCAAGAAACTGCTAATGCCGAAAACCTCAAAGCGTTGTTAAAATTGAAAATATTTATATAAATTTAATGACGTGGTCAAAAAAAATTTTTAGGTTTTAGATCTTGACATATCATGACAATTTTCATTTTTTTAAATGGAAAAAACCACTGATTATTCGCTTATTAAATTCGTTATTTTTTTCTGATTACAAAAATATAGGGTTTGACAGGGCTATTTCTTATTGTTTTAGAATAAAGCCAGGGTATGATTTCTTGATAGGTATGAAATAAAGATTGAATTTTATTTACTATAACGATCCACTAGATGGCGCTAGATAATCGACGTCAGTGTCATATGTCATAATGTCAGGCATAATGTTAACTTCACATTTCTTTACCATAAAGAAGACATCACAAACTTTATTATAAATATGTTTGTAAAATTAATTTTGTTCAACTATTGTAAAAGGATAAATAACATATAAAAGGTAAAACTAGAAAACTAAATTCTAAGAACACATTGGCTGTTCAAGCCGGTCATATTTTTTTAAAGAGGAAAATACAAATTTATTTAATAAACTATTGTGTTCTATTTATCAATTAAACTAAGAAGTGGAAACCTGAATATAATTGAACTCAAGCATTGTATCATACATATATAAATATACCGAACACTTTCAAATTTCGCGGTTTATTAAAATTCTATTACAATCCCCTTGGCGGTGCTCCATTCAATTTTTGTCGGTAAAATAGTGCGGAGTAATGCTTCTATATACGTATAATATAAATATTTTCTATGAATAAAGCTAAAAATACATTCTTTTTAGTGTCGTCAAAAAAATTAAATTTACAGTTTCCTGTAAATTATAACTAAAAATTAAAAAAACCTATTTCTGATATTTGAAACAAATACATTTGTTGAACTATTTAATTTATATTTGTTTTACACAAAAGTTGGAACAGATTGCATTATTTCACATTTTTTATTAATATTATTTAATATTATTATTAAATGACTTAATAAATTATTGATAGATGGCGCTCATATATATATTTTTTTAACTATTTTTATTAATTCAAATAAACATAGCAACATTTGTTTGTATTCCAAAATTAGTTAGTGTAAAATTAGTTTAATATGTTAGAATTACATATTAGAAAATAAAGTAATAAATATTTCTTATTTATTTATTTTTAGTAGAATAATTTTTAGTTATAGTGCCGTAATTTACAGAAAACTGTAAATTTAATTTATTTGACGACACTAAAAAAAAGTTTATTTTTAGCTTTATTCTAAAACAATAAGAAATAGACCTATATAACCCCATATTTTTGTAATCAGAAAAAAATAACGAATTTAATAAGCGAATAATCAGTGGTTGTTTCCATTTAAAAAAACGAAAATTGTCATAATATCTAGAAATCTAAAACCGAAAATTTTTTTTTGACTACGTCATCAAATTGTCGGTAAAAAAGTGTCCGTATAATGTCTTAATTATAACACTCCACCTATAATAATAACCAAGATAATTGCACTTGCTGGTTTTACGATATTTTCAATTTTGGCCTCTAGGAGAAAAACAAAAGACGATAGCGCTTTGAGGTTTTTGGCATTAGCAGTTTCTTGAAAAACGAGATCATGACATGTAAGCTACTTTTTTTCTAACTCTTATAGTTTCCAAGATAACCTATTCGGACATCGAATTTGAACCACCCTGTACAATGTCGAACAGATCTTAACAGTTGGTAAGGATATCATTCTGAAACCCATTAATTAAGATTCAACAATGATAAATCATTGGAGTCCACCCACGAGGTGTTCGCCTTAGATTATCACAGTTGAGGTGTCCCCAATTATCAAAGTGGGAAATCAGATACTATATAAACAGCGAGAGGATCTTAAGAAGCAGATAAGAGAGATGATAAACCAAGGAGTGGCTTAATTCAACAATTAAGCACCAAAAAATTGTAGAATAAAGGAAAAAGTGACAAATACAAACGCCAATCTGCGCTTTGTGTTCTTAATTACATCAACTGAATTATAGTACTGAAGATAACGCCAATATGGTATGTCATGTATGATTATTACAATAGAAATACTCATTACTCGATGTAATTGACAGATGACAAAGTGTAGAGTGAACAGACAGGAATTTACACGTGTGGTTGTTTTTAAGTGAAACTTGTTTAATGTAATTTCAAATTAAAATGAAATTATGCTATAATTATTTACAGTTCAAGTAGTTTTGATTATTAAAAGTGTTAAGTTAATAACGCTTGATAACGTTTGAGATGAAATCTCAGGTAAAGTGGATAACTGTGTGAGAAAAGTTTTATCCACAACAAACTCGATAAAACGAAAACGAGAGAAGACAAATTTTAAAACTTACTATTTACATCCATTTTTAATTAACTTTTAAAAGTGAACAAGTAGATGTATCTTCAAAAAAAAACACATTAATTTACTTATCGCCAAAACAATAAAATAAAATAAAAGGAAACATAATCCACTCTTGAAATTGAAATGTACGTATATATATTTTTTTTCTTTTAGTTCTAATTGTTTTCTACCACTATTTCGCCATAAATGCGCTGCGAGCGAATTCCTGTTTAATTTAGGAACAAATTACTACCGGCTTCCACCGACTTGCTAATCGATTAGACGCGAACATTTTTAGCAAAATCGTTCGTTCAGACGAACACATCGGAAAGTGCAACGAAAAAAAAAAAAATAAAGAAAACAAAAAATCAATCCGCCCAGACTTATTCGTACGAAACTTACCGTAGCCAATGCCGCTTGGTGATGGTAGTATAACTGCAAATACCGTCAAATTGATCTGCCACCCAAATGATAAGTATGATATAAAAAGCCGTTGTGGTATCGTTGAAAAATTCAGACATGATCGCCTCCATTCCTGAAAAAAAATCATCAATAAAATCAACTTGGATTATTTTAAATAAATGTGGTGATTGTTAAAATCGTACGTATTAAAATATTTAAAATGTTTGTTATGAATTTTAAAACTCTGATATTGTATTTCGCTATTTTATTTTATTACACAAAAAAAAAATAGAATATGAAACATTTACAGTTTGTAAATCAACTGAAAACTCTAGGCAATAATTAATACTGTTTTCTGTACAAGATTAAAAATGCCAACCGTTAAAATAGGGTCCGAAGTGGAGAAAAAAAATCAACACAAAGATACGAGAACCGTATTGGAAATAAGCACGTTTAGTTTATATGAAAATGCTGGCGGCACACGGGGGTTTTATTATTCCAACGGAGAGGTTTATTGCAATAACAGAGTGCGCCACTCGAATTCCAAAGCAAAAGAGAACCGACCGCCCAAGCGAATTATTAGTTATTGATTGACTAGTAACGCGAAAAATAAAATAAATCCGATTTCAAACAAATTGGGCGTGACAATATTACTCCAGTCGCTCTCTCTTTTTCGATTCGTGGGGATGGCCTGGCGTTTTGTGCCCTTGTTGTTTACTCAATCAATTCGACGTTTCCCGGAACACTCGCTTTTACATCTAACGCTTTCCCCGGTTATCATTTACAAACTAAAAAAAGCAATATCAATTTCATTATTTTCATCATAACATAGATAATCCCAGCTTTGAGTCGAATTTAAAAAATAATTATGAAACAACAAAAATATTATTGGATAACGATCACCTCAGTTAATAAGTACCAAAAAAGTTTGTCATGATAATTTTTGATTTGTCCAATTTTCGCGGAGACAGAGTTATAATGAAAAAAGTTGTAACATTTCCGTGTGGAAATTTGCGATTCCCTTGTAATTAGGAACAACTCGCGGACAACGTAGTTACTACTAAATGGTCAGATGAAATAATGATACTTTAATACAAAAGTAAAAGTTTAAAGAAGGAAAAATCATTCACTTACCGACTAGCGCCAAAATAACGGTCAACAACGAAGCTGCTGGAAACGTTATTGGGACGTTATATTCAATCATGTGCAGAACTTCAACTAAAGACGAACAAAAAATGTTTTATTTCAAAAATTAAAAATTATTATTGAAATACTCACCGATAAAAACAAAGATTTGATGGTGAGAATAATGAAGTAGAAGTGAAACAGAAACCGTCTGAAAATAATAAAGTGATTGAAAGAATTTCAAATTTTTTGGTTTAGTTGCTAATTTTAGAAATTGACGTTATTGATGAGGATAAATTGTAAATATTCATGTCCATCGCGTCGGTCCGTTCGTCATAGATCGGTAGGGGTTGGAATAATTGAGCGGTCGTATTTCTGAGAAGATCATAAATCTACATATGAGATGGGCGACCTAACTACCTCCCCGTTGCCCACTAAATGACAGGCAGTGGTGCACGATCACATGACACCGGCCGTTAACAACCCTCCAAGCGGCGGTACTGGATCGTTCAACGTGCACATCGTCGTTGTATTAAATGTTATTGAGTATTTGCCATTGTTAAAATTATATCTATTTTATTCATATTGAAAATTTATGTATAATATTTAATTCATTAATCAAATTAAGTAGGTTTGAATACGTTACAAGTGAAATTTATATTGAGACAAATAAGAATTGAGTTTTATTCCATTTGTCAACGTTTTCATAGAGTACCTTGGCTTATCTCTTAATGTCTTCGTATCAACAAGGCTAACCCAAACGATCTTTAATACTTCAGCAATATATCACATACCCCCCAAAGTCCGACCAAGACAATTTACTGGAATGAAACCGAAATTGTGTCGTGGTGCAATAGCGTAGCTATTATGAGGTCAAGCATCCCAACCTTAAGAATTAAGAGGCATAACACTCCCAAATATCGAAGCATCCTATACTGCAATCTGAGTTCTAAAACCACATTCACGCCCATAATCTTGTGTTTCCCACCGTCATTATAATCTGCGCATTCGTTGAGATTAACTCTAAATCTAACTTGCAGCAATTTACCATTTGCCCCCAAAGTCTAACTATGTCCAGGAACGTATTGAAAATGTAGCTGAAAGGTTATAACTCCACAGGATACCTCATCGAATTCTAGATCATTTCTCACATTCCCCCCATAATTAACCAGATATAATATAGCCAAGTGCAGAGACATTGCCTCGCCTATAAGTGAACTCAGATGGAATATATGATTCTAGGTCTAGTGTTAGTACTAGTGATAGTGCTAGTGTAAAACTAGAACTAACACTAGACCTAGAACCATTCGGGTTTAGCCGCACGTCTCACAAGAGGGCTAAACCCGAATGATTCTAGTCTTAGGTCTTGTGTTAGATCTAGTGATAGTGCTAGTGTAAAACTAGAACTAACACTAGACCAAGAACTAGAAACATTCGGATTTAGCCACTCGTCTCTCAAGACGGCTAAACCCGAATGAATCCAGTTCTAGATCTTGTGTTAGTTCTAGTGATAGTGCTAGTGTAAAACTAGAACTAACACTAGACCTAGAACTAGAAACATTCGGGTTTAGCCGCACGTCTCACAAGACGGCTAAACCCGAATGATTCTAGTCCTAGGTCTTGTATTAGATCTAGTGATAGTGCAAAACTAGAACTAACACTAGACCTAGAACTAGAAACATTCGGATTTAGCCGCACGTCTCACAAGACGGCTAAACCCGAATGATTCTAGTTCTAGGTCTTGTGTTAGTTATAGTAATAGTGTTAGTGTAAAAGTAGAACTAACACTAGACCTAGTGATAGTGCTAGTGTAAAACTAGAACTTAAATTTTTTGCAAGTTTTTGGTGTAGATTTCAAATTTTTCCGTCATTTTGAAACGAGTTATGACATCATCGATATATAAATGGCAATGTATTGACATTGTAGCCAAAAGGTTACGACTCCACAAGACACCTCATCGAATTCTAGATCATTTGCCAAGTGCCAATACATTGCCTCACCTATAAATGAATTCAGATGGAATATATGAACCGAAGCGATCTACTACACATTCGTTTCTGTAATATAGAAGCATCACATTGGTATAATTTAGTTTCAGAAACGTGAGCTATGCAACCTAATCAATCTTGCGGACAACCCACCCCGAACTTAGTTTACCACAGCTTCGTTTATTAAAGCAGGTATATCATTAGAAGGTGAGGTTGACTTGAATAAGACACCACCGTCCTAGAAAGACACCAGTTTTATAAAGAACTTGTTTAAAACATAGTTATAGATCACTTCAATATCCACTCAAGAGGAAGGATAAATAATAGGATCACTGGAAGGTATGGAGAAGATGCCCTAAATAATAATGGACAAAGTCTGGTACAGATTTGCAAACAACATCTATGTGCTTCATAAACACACAAATATACATTGCACCAACAAACTAGATGGTTACAATCTGCATTAAACTATACAGGGTGATTCAAAAAACCGCTGACAGATTTCTAGGGCATGTAATACATCAAAAATTAGGATGAAAAGTCTTAATGTACATGGGGTCGCAAATGCCTCCTTAACGAGATATAGCGGGTCAAAGTTTCTTTAAAATTAAATATTATATGTAATAAAAAGCCCTTTTTTTAAAATAAATTCAACGCCACTGCTAATTTTTTCAAACGGGCAGTATTTTCGTATAAACTGATCAATTATCTATCAATTGATCTCTTACAAAACTTTGATTAAAGCAACAGTTTTTGATTGGATTAACAAATTTTATACAAACGTGTCTTTCTTAAAAACTATAAATTTAATGTATAATGTGATAATTGATCACTTCACACGAAAATACTGCCCGTTTGACAAAATTAGCAATGTCGTAGACAATATTTTTAAAAATATTGCAGATAATGTTTAATTTTAGAGAAACTTTGATCCGCTATATCTCGTTAAGGAGGCATTTGCGATCCAATTACAATTACTCTGTATAATTGTAATTAACCAGCGAGAAGCATATTATAGGTTGTACTATTAAATACAACTTAGACTAGACTGCTGCTTGAAGCACTTTGAGTACAGCTCACTTTGCTGATAACCAAACCGTGACCATCAATAACTAAAATCATTACGCAGGATAAAAATAATCTGAAATTTAAAGCGAGGAAACTTTTCGACGAATATGAAATCAGGAGAGAATGTCAACACAGAATTCCAAAACTTGCTTTTCCATAGGTACCAACAAAAAAGAGGAAGCAACAAAGACCAAAGGTTACCTGAATAAGAGGCATTCAGAGGGCAGTGTCAAAGAGAAGCCTGATACTAAGAGACTGGGAGGATTGAAGAGGTTAAGATAGAAGGTAATAAGGATCAACTACATCACTGTTACTTGAGAACAATGATAATAATTATTATCAGTCAACTTATTTTAACTCTATGACAGTTAAAATATAAACCAGCTAAAATTAAAAATTCCTAATTAGTTTTATCGACAAAACCGCTAAAATTCGATTGCAAATCGATTACATAAACGTTTTATGTTTAAAAATACATTCAATATAGTACAATTGATTGAAATTTCAACCACTCTCCAATGAAGTATGAAATGTGAATGTTCTGTTGTGAATATTTGATTCAAAGAAACCATTTCAGTGCCAGACGGAATTATTGACCTAATCTTCAACACAAGCAACAGTAGTGGTTAGCCAAGCATTTAATTCCTATTAAAAATATAACTTAGAGGTGACTCATATGCTAAGGATTTCTATTTCGACCACACAAATTAGCAACCAATTACGAAAAAGGAATCTTTTTGATGGAATAAACTCAGCTTATTGGAAAATGTACATCTTGCAACATTACATTCAAGATCAATTATCAATGAAGAAGAGGAACCTTCTCTCTAAATCATAAAGAAGAGAGTTCTTGCTCCACTAAGCTATAAAAGTAAGTAAATTAAGACTTCTTACATATATTCTCATGATAAAACGAATCATATCTGACCACATATACATGTAGTATAAATTTGTTTGTTATTTAATCAATGTTTACGCTAAAGACCTTGATTATAAATGAAGATTATTCATAAAATACATTTTGATTGTTTAAATTTTTCAGTGTGTATTATTAAATGATCAAAACCTTTTGCATCAATAACTTACAAACACAACCATGATGAAAAAAGCTGCAATATAAGAAACCACAGCCGACACTACTGGTTTATTTATCTCTATGACAGTTAAAATATAAACCAGGTAAAATTAAAAATTTCTAATTAGCTAGAATTAGTTTTATCGACAAAACCGCTAAAATTCGATTGCAAATCGATTACATAAACGTTCTATATAATATATAATACAATTGATTAAAATTTCAACCAGTCTTCAATAAATTATGACATGTGAATGTTCTGTTGTGAATATTTGATTCAGAGAAACCATTTCAGTACCAGATGGAATTATTGACCTAATCTTTAACACAAACAACAGTAGTGGTTGGCCAAGCATTTGATTCCTATTAAAAATATAACCTAGAGGTGACTCATATGCTAAGGATTTCTATTTCGACCACACCAATTAGCAACCAATTACGAAAAAGGGATCTTTTTGTTGGAATAAACTCATGTACATGTTGCAACATTACATTCAACATCAATTATCAATGAAGAAGAGGAACTTTCTCTCTAAATCGCCAATTAGCATGAAAAGTGTTAGCTTTGGCACTTGTTTGCTAACATCAAGTGAAGAAATATAACAGAGTTCTTGCTCCACTAAGTACAGCTATAAAAGTAAGTAAATTAATACTTTCTATACATCTTCTCATGATAAAATGAGTCATATCTGACCACATATACATGCAGTACAAAATTGTTTGTTATTTAATCAATGTTTGCGCTAAAGACCTTGATCATAAATGAAGATTATTCATAAAACACATTTTGATTGTTTAAATTTTTGAGTGTGTTAAATGATCAAAACCCTTTGGATGAATAACTTACAAACACAATCATGATGAAAAAAGCTGCAATATAAGAAGTTCGCGCCATCCACATACTAACGAATCTAAAATGTTCCCCAGTAGCAACATTTCTGCAAAAAAAATCAACTAAATATATCTGTTATTTTAGTATTAACCTTATTTACCTTAAAAATCCTTTATTTTTTTCTTGTTCTGCAAGAGGTTTAATTGACAACATCAATATATCATCATACCCCAAAAATTCTGATAACATAAACCGAGTGAAATAATCTCCAAAACATTCGTCCTTCCAAGGATCTAACACGACGGTTTGTACAGGTACATTCAATCTTTGCCTTGCAGCAAGACTTAATCTTAAAAATCCATATTCTAATGAATACTCAACGATATATTCGTCTTTATTAGATTCTAAAAGTGAAGAAACAAATTAATTTTTAATCATTTAATGTTAAAGTAATAAAATTTACTTTTTCCAATAGATTCAGATTGCTCCTCATCATAGACATTCCCAGTTGGTTTATCAAACAATGAGGAGGATAAATTAATTTCCGATGTTGGCGTTATTATGGATCTTTTGCTTATTTGTAATTGTTCTTCTTTTTTCCTTACATAATCATCAGTTAAAGTTTTAAGTTTTTGCCAATCACTGAGTACATTACGACCTTTACTATCTAGTTTTGTATAATCTTTTGAATGGAATTTATTTTCATTATTTATATCTGCAATAAAAGAATAACAATGATTTATTGAAATGAGAAATGAAACATTGATCTTGCATTATCAAACATTCTCCTTTCTTATTATTAGAATTCTGAGGATAAGCATGACGAGGCGTTTTATTTTGTGTGTATTGACTTTTATTTACAATCAATATTTAAATTTAAAATAAAAATTAATTTATTAACTTACTATTTGTTTTAGAAAGCGGTTCAGTGACTTTCTTACTTTCCTCAACTGCTGTAGGATCAATTGCCACAAACCCATCTCTATCCAAAAAATAATTATTAAAATCCACATCAGATTGTAATTGCTCTCTTCGTTCGCGATTACCACTCCTTGAAGCATCCAAAATTTCAACACGTAATATTCCATCTCGAGGCCATGTATCCTTAACATGATTGAGGCAAGAAGCCGGTGTTTTTGTAAACACCATATGTATGTATACTAACACAAAAAAGGCTGCAATTGCCTTCACAAGGATTATAAATTCAAGAAGTCTTCGTACAGGTTTTGGAAATGACCTAGCGTACATAATGGCTACTCTGAAGAATATGGTACGAAATAATTGGTCGCGCATATTAAAAGCGGGGTTTTGGTTGTTGTTGTTTCTTAATCTGTTGCGGTTGTGCACATTTTGTGGATTAACATTATCCGAAGGTGTTGCGTTGGAGGACATTTTTTAATTTTTATTTAACTTTATTTTTTAAATGTGTAACATCTCTAGAAAGAAACATGTTTCTGGTTGAGATCAAATCAAAAAATTTATTGCATAATTACCTTTAACCATAGAGCTTATTGCCTTTTAGAAATAATTTTTCGTAAACAAGTCACTTTTTGGAGGTTAACTATCACTCATTTTTTTATTGGTGTTTTTATGTTGTGTTGGAACTTTCTACGATAAATAGTTGATACTCTTGATACTGACAATATCTTGATAATAATAGTTATAAAAAACACAAATGTGCACAACTCTTTTAAGCGCTAACCTAGCAGTAAACTTATCAACTTTCATTTAACAGGACCTCGATTGATTTCCCTTTGCAATAAGACGTAACCAAACGACTGTTTTATTTTATTCATAAGTTTACCGTAAATGCAGATTTAAACGTTAACAATCCAACGAATTTATTTTTTTTTACTTAAAATCACTTTACTAGCTGTTCCCATTTCTGTTGACAGTTCACCTAACGATAGATTGTGACGTCACTCACGATTTTTGGCAAAATAATCGGTCCTAGTGGAAAGGAACCGCTTGAAACTTGCATAATAATAAATAAATAATCGCACACTTTCTTGATTTGGAATTCATTAACTATGTATGTGCAAAATATATGTGCATTAATTATTATTCGCGAAATTCGATCAACATCACGCGTTATGCCAAAAGTAATCAGAAATTTAAATTTTATCGAGTTGGATCCCCCTATTTTTAAGTTGACAAATAAATATATTAGGTTATCAAGGAGATTATTTATGTATATTTTTATAATTATTAAGAAATCATTCTTTTAATTTGTATTAAGTTGAAATAAAACGTTTTTTTATGTTTTTTAGAAGCTTTTCAAAAATTTAAGGAAATATCGATTGATTGGGAGACGTCAATAAATTTTATTGAGGTTATTCATCTGTCATATAGGTTATGGTTATGCCACTTTCAAAAATAAATACTTCGCAACTCTACAAAGGACACATAATTTTTTATTATTATTGTTACTTATAATTAGGGTTATAAATATTATAATAAATTATGACAAGAATTTAAGATTCATTTATAAATAAATTAATGTCACATTGGTGTCAATCAGCTAGCCAACAAAAGATGGCGCTAGTGTGTTGAAATCCTCTATTTAGATGTATTTTAAAGCAATAAATCTCCATAAAGAACCCAATTAAATAAACTCATTTTATATATAATAAAGTAATGAATAATTTAATAGTATTTTGACATAAATTATATTTATTTTAGTCCCTAATAAATCTTAACCCTATAGTGCGCACAAAAAGAATACAAAAGGAATGCTATAGAACCCAAATTAAACTGATCAGAAACCCAAAAATTGCAAAAATTCCTCAAAAGCTGGTGTCTTCCGCGTCTACGTATCCTGATGCTCTTTTGATTATTGATCCAATGAAGTTTAGTGTGACTCTTTGTTTTCTGATGTTTGGGATCAGTTGTGCAAGATAAATAGAGGTCTGTCCAGTGACGTTGTTTTTACGTCAGCGCTGGCTGGTGGTCTAGCAGGATCTGGAACAAAACCGAGTTGAAGTACGATACTTCTAGTATGATAAGTTTGCATTCCTCCTTGAGTTTGAACATCAATGATGTTATTTACTTTTATAATAAGGTATGGTCTAAAGCAAGGCTTCTTCATCTTATTAGTTTTGGTAATGATCTGGAAATACACTATTTCTCATATTTTCTTAACTCTTCTCGGAGTTGTAACCTCTATACTGCACCCAAACATGATGCGTTTAATTCCAATATTAGTAGATATAAGCAACTTCGATGTTTAGAATGGTTTGAAATGTCAATGTCATATTGACAAATTCTTAATTTTTATAAAATGTCTTAAAATTTATCACAAAAACAAAAATACAATAAAAAAATTAAAAATTAAGGTTGTTATTAATATTTAATAATTAAATTGTTATCTTCATTGTTGCTAACTTGGGGTTTAACGGTTTTTTATTCAAACTTTTTTGTTTTTAGAGATAAATGTGTCTTGTTTGGACTCACTTTAAAGGCCTCTTTAATAAAGAATACATCATAGAAGAACCTCCATGAAGTTGTCCATTTGTCTATTATATGATAACTAACTTCAGATTTAAAACGTCAACCTCAATTTTGACATATTTGTAATCTTCATTAAAAATCCTTTAAAATGAGTACAAACACGACATACTTATCTTCAATATTAATGAAGTTATGGTCAACTTCCGATGAAATGTCATTGTCATTTTGACATAATCTTAATTTTTATAAAATGTTTTAATATTTGTCACAAAAACAAAAATTTAATAAAAAAAATTAAGGTTGGTTTTAATATTTAAATTAAATTGCTTTCTTGCTAACTTAGGGTTTAATGTTTTTTATTCTAACTTTTTTGTTTTTTGAGATAAGTGCGTCATGTTGGGACTCATTTTAAAGGTTTTTTTAATGAAGATGACAAATATGTTAAAATTGACGTTGACGTTTCAAACCGGAAGTGATTGCAATAATTAAATTTTATTCCGATTTTTTTACCAATTCAAACCTAATTTTTATTAATTTTAAAACAATTCGAATTCTTTACGATTATCTCGCATTCATAACAAATTCGTTAATTGCAATTAATTTAAATCGATTCTAATTAAGAGAAATAAATTGAAAATAGCTTTTTTTGATTTAATCCACTTACCTTGTTTATAATACCCTGAATAAACCAATTTTGAGTTAAATACAGCCTTTTAAACCAATTAAATAAGACTTTTTCCTTAAAAAAACTTAAATTGAATTTCAATTTTGGCTAACACCTGCAATATTTGGATCTTAATCACCATGGTAACCTAGTCAAGTTGGATAACATAATAATAAAATTATAACGGTTAATATTTCGCTTTATATTTTAATATTTTTTTTATTTTATTTTATATTTTTGTGTATTGCTTCTTAAGTGAAATACACTGTATAAATAAAAACATAGAAATGTTAATTCTTCCAATGACACAGCACGCCTTTGTAAAACAGTAAATTGGGTTGCATAACCTACAAAATTTAAAAACCACAATTTTAAATGTCAAATAAATTTAACAAATATCACAATAAAACGATGTAATTGTTATAAAAACGTATCATTAATTGTTACAATTACAATATTAAATAAAATATTACTTCAAAATTTGTACCAAGTTATTTCGGGAAAATGACAAATAGTTTTAGCACTTCTGTTGAACTAAATGGCCGTACACAAAGTTCAATCCGTACTAAATATTCTTTTTACGGAAATATAACGATTGAATTAGTTTAAAGTAGGAAGGAATGTAAACGATACGTAACCATTTTGAAGAGCAGCAAACGGAGCATTCACCAAATTAGAAAACGATTCCGCTTTGACGTTAGAGACGTCATAAGGTCAGTTGTGTTGCTTTTATGTACATATGTGTGCGTGTTCGTATCTTTTTAACGAATTTGTAAACATCAGCAAGAGAATTTTTTATTTGATATTAATCGCACGATAATCGGAGTCGTTGGTAATTTATCTTCATTTAAAAGTCTATTTAATCGTAATGTGACGCAAAATGTTGCCTTTTAGCTTCCTCTTTCAACACAACGTTTGGAGGAATTTTACAATGTGCTGGGAGTCCCGTTAATAATTTTATAATGGATGAAAGAAGTCGTTATGAAAAATTGTCTATTAGGGAATCAGCTAGGTCTTTGAAGAGGTATGGAAGTACAAATAAGCATACTATTCGAGAGAACTATATAAAACATATCATCTCACCTGGAGATACACTACAAGGGATTGCTTTAAAATATGGTGTCACTGTATGTAAAAATTAATATTATTGTTAAATATTGTAATGATTCTTTTATTTTTAGATGGAACAAATTCGCAGAGCTAATCGCTTGTGGACTAGTGATAGCTTATTCTTAAGAGAACATTTATTGATACCAGAAACAGAAAATAATAGTATATACGAAAAATCAGATAATTTAAATAATATTCTTCCTACCAGCACGCCAACCTCTCCAGATTTATATGAAAATACCAATGATTTCTTAGGAAAAATTGATGCTGCTATTGCTACTACAAAAGAAGATTTGAAAAGGGTCCAGAAAAACAGCAAGTATGTTTATATAAAATCTTTTTGCCTTTAGATATTTTAAGGTTATTTTTAAATCAAATTATAATTAATTTATTTAAGGATATCCCAAGATATAAATGGTTATGGAATCTCGAATGAATCATCAAGCGATAAAAGAAATACTATTGCCCCTACAAGAACAGTAGTTGCTCAAGATCACAAAATTAGAACCTCAATGAAAAGACACGAATGGCAACAAGAGGAACTTTTCGAATTATAAGATTAACAAAAAAAATACTAATGTAATATCTCAATAACGTAAAAGAAATATAGATTAATTTGCAATACCTTAAATATTTCTGAATTATTTTTATTTAAATAAAAACAAACTATTTCCAAATGTAAAACATTTATTTCTTCATCTCTAACTTATAATTAAGCACGTCTATTGAATCCGGCGGACGCAGAAGGTTGCGTTAATTGTAAACCGGTGATGTTGTTGAACTCCAAAGTCTTCAACATCTCCTTGGTTTGCGGATCAACTTCAATAATGTCATGTTCCAAAGCAGATACTTCCGGAACGTAGTTATCACGCCTTTCCCTTTCTTCTTCTTGAAGTTTGATGGAAATTCCTCTAACTTGTGAGTGGCGAAGGCGTTTCATCAAATGCGTAACGAAACCGGCGATTTTATTTCTCAACGGTTTTGTGGGAATAACGGCGATTTCTTCGCAAATACGCTTGTTCGTATGGAAATCCAATGTCAAACGTGTGTAGTATTTTTCGATGATAACCTTAGAGGCTTTTTTCACTGTCTTTGTACGTACACGACCCATATCTGAAATAAAACGACGGGATGATAAATACGAAGTGAATTTTAACAAGAAATTAATTAAATTTGCGTTAAAACTTACCGTATTTTTAATTTGTTACTCAAACGAGAAACGTGGTCGATGCGGTTAGACACCAAAAGAGTTAGGGAAGTTCTCTTTTTCTTACTTGTTTATTTATGTACCAACGTGAGAAATAAAAATCCCTAAATATAGTTAGTTAATTAAATAATTTGTTAATTTAGTTTAATTAAATGATATTATTGATTTAATAGTTAAATAAAATTAATATTGGCTTTAAAACTCCTAAATTGTTGATAAAAATGAAATGGTAATTGGTTGCCTAATGCAATTATAGTTGCAAACTTCATGTAGTTCTTTTTTAAAAATCTATTTAATGTATTTAGTTTCTTATGATTATGAATCCGAATACATGTTTTTTTCTTTAATTAGAAGCTTTTTTATGATATAATTATTAATTTAATTAAAAAAAAATAATGATTTTGGGGTATTTCTTGCTGCCTCTCGTTGTGGCGGTTGTGGCAGCATGGCGGTGACGTTCATTTGACAGTTAAAAATTCGGTGATATATTTATAAAAATACATTTGTTTACTCTTGGCTTCAAAATCCAATTGTGTAAGGAAACGGGACGATGGGGTAATTATTCCGTTTTGGTTCACCTATTTCTATCGCAAGCAACCGTTATAACAGCCCTTCCCATTTTATTTATTCATTTAACAAAATTCACCAATTTAAAAAAATAACCACATCTTTCAAAAATGTTATTACTTCCTCTGTACCTGTTATTGTTGATATTTATTTTTTTTTGTATATTTATCTCAAACCTGTGATTAAATTGGGACAAAAACGATAACTTATCTAAGCCACTCCTAGTTTTTTATGGATTTATGTTTTCTTGTTCAAACATACTTATTTACCGCTGTTATTAGTCGGTTGTATTATTGTTGATTTAATCACGTGTAAGGTGATGGAAGCGTTGATATCTTCTAGGGAACAACCCATTTTTAGCTGCAAGGCCCATGTCTTTCACATTGACCCAAAAACCAAACGATCATGGATGCCTGCCTCCAGCACTGCAGTCAATGTCTCCTTTTTCTTCGACTCCCAAAGAGGCTTGTATAGAATTATTAGTGTGGAAGGGACAAAGGCTGTTATTAATAGCACTATCACTCCTAACATGACCTTTACAAAAACATCTCAAAAGTTTGGACAATGGTCGGATGTACGGGCTAATACGGTTTATGGTTTGGGATTTTCATCGGAATCTGAATTACAAAAAGTAAGTTAAATTACTTTATTTAAGGAATAAATTAATCATTAGTATATCAGGCTCAAAGTTATATTTATTGTACCCTTTATTATTAGATAAGTGGATTTTTCACTGTTGACTCATGGATTATTTTCAATGAATAAACTTATCTTACAGCACGATCGATTTTTCTAGAAAATAATTATGATAAATAACATTTCATTTGTAACTTATTTTAACCATTTAGTTTATAGATAAATTTAATGAAGTTAAAGAAGCAACAAGAAATTCAATATCCAAAGTAACTGCAAATGGAGGAACAGCCGTAACACCGGTAACAAGTGCAAATGCGAGTCCAGTAATAGCAAGGGCAGCAACAGCTTCAACAGAGGGTTCAGATCTTTTGGAACCTCCAGGAAGCGCTGTGATGCCAAATCAGAATGCCAAACAAGAAGAGGAATTACCTCATGTTCGTAGTCATTCAGTCTCTGGGATGCAAAGCAATGAAAGTCCAAGTCACCAGGCTAAAGGAGACAAAAGCAGTTATTCTCTATCAAGTGGGGGGAACTCAAATCAAAGTGATATGCAGCTAAAGTATGAAAATGACCGGTTAAAATTGGCATTGGCGCAAAGGTAAGTAAAAATGTGAAAAAGCGTTTTAATAATACATAATACAATACAAAACCAAAGCAAAATGTGTTCTAATAATTTCCAAACGCTTTCTGATATATTAATATTAATAATATGTAATATTAAGTAAAAGATTTACTTATTAAAAACAAAATTAACATAATCATCGATTTATACTGGCTCAATTAGCCAAAACAAAGCTTAAATAAAATCTTAAATTGAATCTTTGAGAATATAAGTCGATGTGAAATCCCAGCAGTAGTATATTGCACTAAAATTCTATAAGGTGGGCAATAACTCCCAACCAATTAGATATGATGCATGTTTGGACAATGTATTCTCTAATTTTTCTCTCAGCCAATCGTTTTGCGTCATTGTTGAACCATGTCTCTCAGATCACAAAGATAGTAGCACTAAAATTGCATATAGCACGTCGTTTTTGTTGATAGTAACGCGTTGGACTTGGATGATAAGTTTTTCGTTTTATCAATGTATTGACAAATACATACCATCAATATTAGCTTCCATGAAAAGTGTAAATTCGTTAGAAATAATAATACTGTGGGGGCGCTCCATTGGTTTAATGATGAGATAATAATAGTAAGAGACAGACTTCGTTTGCTGTCTGACATTCATCATATTGATCCTGGTTTAGTAACCAAAGAATATTTCAATAGTAAAACGAGAATTTATAAATAGCTTATCTTAACAACAAAAAAGTCAGCTAACGCGTCCCTATTAAAACACTCTAAGAACAAGCAAGCTGGTTTCTGGAATGTTATTTATCAGGTTCAATAATCCATCCAGGGTGGCTGCTGAGGCAGTATCGTTAATGGCGAATGACTTTAATGGGTACTTTGGCGGTATTGCCCAATCAATGATATTAAAAAAACAAATAACTACAAATTATAATTTCAATCTTATGTTGCACACTAATAACTAAAATCTAAACTAAGAAATTGTAATAGTAGAGATGTTAAACATTTAGTGTATATACCCTTATGTAAACTGATAAATCAATGCCTGAAATCTAACACCTTCCTTAATTGTTCAAGGATGGTAGAAATAGTGTCCATTTTTAAGAAGGGTAGGAGCAGCGAATTGGCTTGACCTATTTTGATCATTCCCATATTTGGTAAAATATTTGAACTTCTCACTAAATCACAGTTGGTTAACTCTTTTGAAAAGCACATGCTGTTGAACACACATGCTGTTGAACACCTCTCAATACACTCCTTAACTCAATACTGACTGAGATATCACTTTTTAATCTGACCAAGGCTTTCGACTGCGTTGACCACGAGTTATTGTTGCTAAAATTAAAAGCTCGCCATTCTAGTGAACCCAGCATTCTACTGCTTAAAGATGAGTTTAGACATGCATGGATTTAGTGGCGCCAGTAGTTGCGCCAGTTCTATTTGCACGTCAGTAAAGGTTTACACTACATGTGGGAAAACAAAAATAAGTGATACGCCAGTTTCATTTTTAAAGTGTATTGTACAGAGTGCAATATGTTGAGTAAACTTTCCAAAGCATGCAAAATAGTCGCTAAACTTTTAGTGGAAAAAAAGATAAAAGAAATACAGAAAAAGAAACGACGAAAAGATCGTGTCATAACATAACCTAAATTTGACATTAAAAAATGTTGTATTTTTGTGGATAGTAATCTATGTTGTCATGGTTACATGTTTTTAGACTCATCACTGGCGCCAGTAATTTCAGAAGGGTGCAAACTTTTCTGATCCATGCATGCATGATTTCAACTTGCATGCCAGTTGATGTTTACACATGCAATTTAATTTTACTGGCGCTCCAGTTTTTATTAGCGCCACTAAATCCATGCATGTCTAAACTCACTATAAGTCTCTCTTCTGATAAAATTACAGTTAAATACGGAGTCCCACAAGGATCTGTACTAAGTCTGTTGCTGTTTTTGATATTTATTAATGACATGCAGCTGCCTGCCACAGAGTTCGGGGGTTGTACTTTATTCGGATAATACAGCAACTATAAATACCCGTTCTAATTTCAATACTCGTGATCAGGCTGTGTCTAGCTCTACCCGAAGACTTCTATCTTGGTATGAATCTAATAATCTTGCGTTGAACGCGTCGAAAACTTAGTTATTGACGTTTGCTTTACGGGATATTCCTCCAAATCTCACTCAACTGGTTAAATATCTGGGAGTGTTACTTGAATCCAAGCTAATGTGCGAGGCAAAGAAAATGCTTGAGAGTCATGACTGGTTTGCGCTTGCCGAATGCTGCAGAACTGAAATTCTCTGAACGGAATGTTCGAGAATATCTACAATACATTAAAAATTATCCAACCTCATATCGTAAAGTGGGCGATAATAGTTATTTATATTATAAGTGGGCTAGAAACATAATTACTACGAGTACTGTAATTATGCTCTAGCCCACGTGTGATACACAACATTTTATCGACGACTGCTAAAAATTACGTAAAAATCAATTTGTTTAAAAAGGTCTATTTTGACGTTTATAAAAATATTTTGAAATGATTGTTGACAATTTTGAATTAATGTCTGTTTCAATAACATGTTTACTCATCTGGAATAAGTGTTTTGAAATGTAAAAACATAACAAATAAAATAATTAATAGTATTGTTTCTCTTTAAATAGGTACCACTTTTTCTTTTGTGTTGTTGATCGTTTCAATAAATTAAGTCTGTTCTGATTGTGCTAAAAGTGCGTACGTAATGAAACCAGTTCGTAATGAATTTCATTAATTAACTCAAATCACCTCAAATGAGTGTGGTAATGATGACTTATCCAAGCAGTCGTAGATAATAGTATGTTAAAAAACTAGTTTCGTAAGACACGTTTGAAATGTACGAATTCAAGTTGAAAAACGAGCGGCGAAGTTACGCGTTTTTTAATGAATGAGTGCTTTAAGTTTCTTCGAAACGTGTTTTTTATGCTATTTTTTGTAATTCGCGTTTTTATCTTTTTTTTAACAAAAATAAAACAAATTTTGACGATGTAGGCAAATAGGTATGTAGCAGTTGGTAACAACGTAACACTTGAAAATAGAAATTTGAATTGACAATTAGAAATTGTCAAAACACAAAATGTATTCACCTGAAAAAAATTTTTCATGTGCACCTCCCAAAATAAGAGAAATTGCTCAGAGTTCAATGTCCTCATCATTGTGGACCTTGTATTCGATACTAAGAACGTGTTTAAACATCCATAGACAAAAATTGTCACATTGACAACTATAAAAATTAATGGTAGAAATTAATGAAATCGTACTTTACGGTGATATAAATTTATTCGCTCAACCGGTTTCGATATTTTACAATATCATCATCAGGAGTTCGTCGGGCATGGTGTTTTAAAACAGATTAAGAATGTTGGTATCATTACAACACCAGCTGTAAACGATCAATTATTCACGTATAATCACACAAGTATGTTGTTAAACCAATCAACAAACCAATGAAAACTTGAAAAATGAAAAACAACTTGTGACCGGTAAATTATAAGAGTCACTCTTATAACTCTCTCTACCATTTACAATTTGGGTGATAAAACCGAAGAAAATTTCCTTATAAAAATTAATGACTCAATGTCACCAACTTGAACTGGTTCCATAAAATGTTACTAAAATCTCATTACAGCATCGGATGCTGTAAGGAGTCTCATTACAGCACCCGTTTGAGTACTGTAATAGCTTTCATTACCGTCGCGATTTACAAAATAGTATATTATTCAACAAGGTAAGTAATCTGAGTGGGTAACACCCATTATACGCAAGTTGAATACTATACTTTATCTACAACTATTCAATTTAAAAAAAAAAATCAAAAAAAGAAAAAATAAAACTTGATAGACATTTCAGACATAACCTCACTATAAGTGAGGAAAGCTGTCATTTCTGTTATATTTTATTTTTTGATTAGTAGGTCGTGTCAGAACTGTGGAATAATAGCTTCATTATTCAACACTTGTCAGTCATGCGAGTAATGACACGACCCGTCAAAAATCAAATGTATAACGAATAGATAATTCAATAGTTGTAGATAAAAGCTTTTATCGCCAACCGGCAGCAAAACCATACTTTATGCTATCCATTTGCGGCAGTAAATTGACACTTTGTGCTACTATCTAGTAAACTGTGCATTTAGCGGCAGACAAAGTACTTTTTGTAATTCGCTACGGCAATGGAAGCTATAACAGTACTCAAACGGGTGCTGTAATGAGACTCTTTACAGCATCCGATGCTGTAATGAGATTATAGTAACATTTTATGGAACCAGTTCAAGTTGGTGACATTGGGTCATTAATTTTTCTAGTTGTCAATGTGACAATTTTTGTCTATGGATGTTTAAACACGTTCTTAGCATCAAATACAAGGTCCACAATGATGAGAACATGGACTCTGAGCAATTTCTCTTATTTTGGGAGGTGTACATCAAACATTTTTTTCAGGTGAATATATTTTGTGTTTTGACAGTTTCTAATTGTCAATTCAAAGTTTCTATTTTCAAGTGTTCTGGTGTTACCAACTGCTACATACCTGTTTCCCTACATTGCCAAAATTGACTTTATTTTTGTTAAAAAAGAGTATAAAAACGCGAATTACAAAAAATAGCATAAAAAACACGTTTCATAAGACTTAAAGCACTCATTCATTAAAAAACTCGTGGCTTCGCCACTCGTTTTTCAACTTGAATTCGTGCATTTTAAGCGTGTCTTACGAAACTTGTTTTTTAATATACTATTACCTGCTATTACCGGCAGACAATAGTATATTGTTTTATATGGAAGAGAAGCAGTGCTTTTTATGGCGTGGTCTGTCGCTAATGACAGATGAGCCGTTAAAATTGTGGCGTGTCCGACAGTTTGCCGGACGAACGAAGTGAGGACCAGCCACAAACGAATCTGCTTCTCTTCCGAATAAAACATAGTATTTTTTCTTCAAACGTTGCAAATAATTGCAATATAAATTTTAATAAATTTAATAAAATGACAATTAACTTATTATCCAATACGGCGCTAAAGTGACATGTGCTTCAGCGCTATGGCGCTAAAGTGAAATTTACTTTAGCGCCATAACGCTGAAGTACTTTTTTGCTATGTTGATCTTACCAACCGTCGTTATGCAACAATGACTTACTTCTACCGCGAGTAAACACGATAACAAAGTTGTCATTTAATGACGTTTGAAGAAAAAGTACTTTACCTGCCGCTAATTGCTGTCAATTGGAAAAAAATGCCGTTGGATTTGAACTCGGTACCTTCTGTATAAAAGCGCACTTCCCTCTCCACTATACTACCGACCTTTGATACATAGTGTAACTTTACCGAGGTATATTAACAAAACAAATCGTTTGACATATGTTATAATAATAGTGGTAAGTTAAAATATCTTCATATCGTTAAATTTTGCGGTTGGCGATAAAATGTTGTATGCAACACGTCAGCAAAGTGTCTTTATCGAACTCGCCTGTTTACTCGCCTCGCTCGCTTCGCTCGCTCGACTCGCAAACTCAGACTCGTTCGATAAAGCATCACTTTGCCGACTTGGTACATAAATAACTATTATCTAAATATGGAAAAACATATTGCAACTTTTATTTGTTTATTTTATCTTGTTTTGTTTTTTATTTTTTGTTTTCTGTAGTCACCTCCTATTAATTACGTTGTATTTTTAAGAGATTTTCCTTTTTCAGACTAATTTACGAATTTTGTATACTTTTTCTTGTTGTATTTTTGCCTTATATTATATGTACCAGGTGACGAGTATAAGAGAAGTCTTTTTTAATAATACTATAAAGAATATATCTATAACTTTTACCCTGGACCACATTCTATTCACAATCCAAAATAATTAAGATTGTTGGAAATAAATTTTTATATTCTAAAAATAATAGAAGTTCGACTTTCATAGATGTTATCGAGAACTTGAGAATTCAAGTACTTCACGGCCTCTTAATAATCATTGAATTTTTTTTAATGTCTCAAAATGGAAAGTAACGTGTGCCGGTTGTGTGTACCAGGAATAATCGTTCGTTTCTTCAAAGAAGAAACGCATTGCCGGTCCATAAAAGCACGACAATTAACGGTTTTGACGATACGACAAGGAGGTAGTTTGCACGGACGGCCCGAACATATTAGAAAGTCGTTTGCTATTAGTATCATAGAAAAGTAAAAATGTTAATTAGCTTAAAAGAAATTTTAAAGGTCTAAGATAAACAATTATGTTTATTTATTTCTTTATTTTTTTACGGATTATTCCGAGATGGAAACTTAAATTGCGGCGACTGTGTGTGGTTTTATTCTTAACATATACATACAAAAAAATGTTTTAAATTCAATTCGATAATTAATAATAATAATACGAAGAAATTAATAAAGGAATAAGGTTAATACATATATAAATATCACATATTCTAGAGTTTGAATCGATCATTGGAGTTTTTTTATCTTTTTCTTTCGAAATCGAAAGAAAAATTAATAATGACCCCCGTAACCACCAGCTCCACCGTAACCACCAGCTCCACCGTGTCCACCATTTGGTTGTCCAACTTTATGAACGACAGCGTTGAATCCGTTATGTTTATCGGCTTGATATTCGACAATACGCGTTGTTCCGTCAGCTTCTTTGAGTGTGTAGGATCCTTTTACTTGATCGCCGTCGCGTTCTTCGTGATGTTGCTTTTCATCTCCAGTGTGTGGGTCGCTAACGGCGTAATTAAAGTTGTACTTTGGATAAGCCTAAAGAATAAAATGAATGAATTCTAATTAAATTAATTTTTAAAGATTACCTTGTAGTCTTTGTCGTCATCTCCACCTCCGTATCCACCATCAAGACCACCGCCGTATCCACCATCAAATCCGCCGCCACCCCCAATGTACCCAGATTCGATACAAACGAAAAGAGCCACAAAGCAAACGGCGATCTATTAACACACAAAAATTAGTTTGTTTAATTGATTTTAATTATTTTTTGCACTCACTTTTAGATAAGCGTTCATTTTCCCTTTGTTTTTGGTTAAAAATTTTTTTGATTTAGGATTATAAAATTTTGCTAATAAAATTTGTAGAACACAAGTCGGCGGTAGGTTTTTGACGATATCGGAAGCTACCGCCGATGACTTTATATAGAGACCTCCCGGGATGGTTCGGAGATTTAGTTGCAATAAAATCGACTTGGGGGGGTTTGTTTTCATTAAGAGCTTTCACTTTTAGTGTAGCGTCGGCAACCGAATAGGTGTTTGATTTAGAATACACGATGTTATATGAAGTTTTATAATTTTATAATAATAATTTTTTTGATTTTCAACAATAAAATTATGACGTAATAATGATGAATTTATTATGATAGATTTATAATTACAGTTGTTAAAATAACTTGTTACCTTATTCGTTAAAGAGAGCGTAAAAAAAATTGGGATTACATCATGAAATAGTAATTCTTTGCGAAAAAGTTTGTCATTATTTCTATTTTAGTTGTGAAGAATTCTAAATACAGTAAAATTTCGATATAACGGACAAAATATTTTTAAGACATATTATTTAATACAATGATATATTTAAATATAAATGATAATGCTCATAGATAGAATCCAACCCGGGTTATTATAAGTTGCTCTATTCCATGTTTATAGATAAATTTGGGGTGTTCCCCGAGTTGTATACAGGGTGTGTCAAATGTCTGGAATATAGCCAATAACTTCGCCATTTGTGGTTTTAAAGGAAATGTTTCAAATTAAAAACTCTATTAAATGTGGCGCATTTTTTGACGATACTTGCTTGTTTACATTGTTTTTTGTTTCGTTGCTATGGCAACCATTGTTATTTTAAATGGGATGCATATATTTTTTTTGCACATTTTAATAGAAGATAAATCCCTCTACGCGATGAACATATCAAATCATATGGTTATATTAGAAAAAAATCGTTTTTTGAAAGTCTTAAATCAGCAAATTACAATCAAAGTAGGCGTCGAAATAACGCCGTTGACAGCTTTAAATGTCAAAAAATTGACAGTTTAAACAAATATGACGCAATTAAGCGAACGACAAAGAATCCAAATATTAATAATGTATGGGTACGGTTCAGGTGATAGAAAACGCACTCAAAGTGAAGTTTGTACACTGTTCAATAATATTTACCCGGATACACAAATTACACAATCCACAGTATCCAAAATATTAAAAAAAAATTTTAAAAAAAGTAAAATCTTTTAAAATCGTTTAAAATCTTAAAAACCTTCCAAAAAGTTGATGGCCGAAAACAGTTACCAATGACCATACATTATTAATTATTCATAATTGTTGAAACTGTAATTTTTTTGACATTTAAAGCTGTCAACTGCGTTATTTCGGCGCCTACTTTGATTGTAATTAGCTGATTTAAGACTTTCAAAAATCGCATTTTTTCTCGATTTTTTTCTTATACAATCATATGATTTGACATATTCATCGCATAGAGGGACTTATCCTCTATCAAAGTATGCAAAAAAATATATGCATCCCATTTAAAATAATAATATTGGTTGCCATAGCAACGAAACAAAAAACAATACAAACAAGCAAGTATCGCCAAAAAATGCGCCATGATTACTAAAGAAACTTGTATTTGAAACATTTTTCTTTAAAACCACAAATGGCGAAGTTATTAACTGGCCATATTCCAGACATTTGATACACCCTGTATACGAAGTATAAATCAAGGGCGGTAGTTCTAGTTTTAATTGTTATTCAGCGCTATATTGTTATACAATTTTATTGAACTAAAAATAGAACTAACACTAGACCTAGAATTAGAAATATTCGGATTTACCCGCACGTCTCTCAAGACGGCTAAACCCGAATGATTCTAGTTCTAGGTCTTTTGTTAGATCTAGTGATAGTGCTAGTGCAAAACTAGAACTAACGCTAGACTTAGAACTAGAAAGTACCGTGCGTCCTCAGACGTTAGTTTTATTTATTATTCGGCGCTAGATTGTTCTACACTTTTATTGAGACGGCTAAACCCGATTGTAATGTTTTCATTTGGTATTCTGTATAAATTTTAGGCGTCTTATCGAGCTTGATAAAAAAGAAACAAAACATATTTTTACTATTTACTTTTTTACAAGATATTCATTCATATTTTCAACACACTCCTTTTTTTCAACTACTGGATCATCAGAATATGGATTGATATCTAGAATGCCTTTGAATCATTGAGATCTTATATATAATCTAGAGTGCGTATGCTGTTGTCCCCACCACGCATAAAATGAAGCCAAAAAGGTCGCCATGCTAGATGTACCAACTTAGCGGGAAATTCGAAATTCTTATATAATACTAATGCAAAAATTTACATTATTATAAACTGGAAAGACAGAAAATAATAACCAAAACAAAACACATTAACTTATTATTAATAAATAATTATTAATTATATAATATTTTAAAAGAAATTAATAATTTTTAACAATAACCCTTATAATTAACATAAACTAAGAAGAAAATATTTAAAACAATTCTGATTGATCACGTTAACCTTTTGCTTATAAATAATTGTTAGTTTATTTTAAAAGAACTGAACATTCCTTAATAATAAACTTTACTTGAACTTCATTGTTAATTTCAAGTCAAGTAACCAGAAACATTTTATGGACTGTTGTAAATAATCTTCTAACCTACCAAATTATAAAAAAACATATATGAAACAAAAAGAATTCAAAAATCTTCAACAAAAATAAAATTTTTATAAAAATAAGAATATGTTTATGAGAATTGTAAGGTTATAATTGTAGGTACAATAGAGACTTGAAACTATAGCTAAGTTCAGGTCGGTACATCCATCATGTCTGACTTTCTGATTACCCCCACCACCACCACATACGCACTCTAGATTATATATAAGATCTCAATGCTTTGAATGTCTTCGAGTCATCCTCTCCTATATATTTCACATATTCACTCCATCCTTTTCTAGCGATCTCTCAAACATTTCTATCACAGCATCAACCTCTATTTTTCCAGCACTTCCCTTATTATTTATTGTGCAAGAATCTTTATGTTCTTCATACCAATATTCGAAGGCGTCGATATCAGATTTTTTTTCCATTGATTATAAGCTTGGCAAAAATTTGATTTCACTATGCTATCGAGAACTTTCTTGCTATACTTACCTACAAGCGTAGTGACACCAAAAAGTTAGGAGAATCCTCTTTTCTTCCAAATACCATCTCCAGAAGCCGTCAAATATATCGGATTATCATCGGGATTAGATAGTAATATTAATTCTTTTTCTTCTTCAACAGCTTTTGAAATAACTTTATCATAAACTTCATTATACTGCAAGATATATTTAGGACTCCTACAAGTCTCGTTAAGTTTTTCTTGTTAACATCTTTTCTTAGTTTTAACGTCGTACCTAACTTAAACCAATAAACAATCATCGTGGATCGATGTGTGCCCTTTTTCAATTAACTTTCACCATGATGAGCCTTGAAAACTTTAATTGCGAAACTCCCTTGACTGTATGAATAATAATAATACTGGGTGCATAATACGTTATTTGAAAAATATGAAATGATTCATCGCCCAAAGTTTCAGAATGTTTTGGTGAAGACATAATTTTAATTTTTAGTTAATAGATATTAGCATAAAATGAGTAATTAAATTAAAAATTATTAAATTAAACCACACCTTATAATCTCCATTACAATAATTATTTTTCATATTGCAACTTTAATAATAGAAATCTTTGAATTAATTAAAAAGAAATACAACATTAAGCCTCTCTTAATCCCTTCACATCAAATTACTAATAATTAACTGACGCAATACGTATAATTTCGGTTTTATTATGGCACTTTTTAATATTGAGCCATCACGTTTACATTCACGTTTCATTCGCAACCTCTGTTCTTTCCAAATCGTTCTTATTACTAAACGGAATTTTTATTATTAAAATATAAACAGTGTTGTTGTTATTACAAGATTGACGAAACCGAGAAGGTGATAATTGTTTTCTAGTTTAGTTACGATCTTGGGTAATTTAAGAACCAGAAACCGGATGGTATAATCAACTTTTACAAAAGGCGCGTCGTTAATCCCGGCAAATGTTAACGGCGTGAAATTAAACCTAACCCAAATGATCATCATTTACTACCTTTTAATTTTCACTTGCGTCATATCGCTCCAATTCCAATAATGGGTTGATTTTGCAAATTTACGCAACTTTTCTACGGATAAAGGAACGAATAAAAAATGTTAAACTTGTAACGCATTATATTTATCACGAAAGCGAGACGTTTTACTGATAGTTGCTTAATAAGTACGGTTTTCGTAAACTTTACAGTTGAAAAAGTTGGGATTTTCTTTTTTTAATCATCTTATATAGAATTAATAATTTTTTTAATGTAATATCGTTTATGGTTAATTTATTAATGGTTGTTCCGCGTTTTAAAACGGACGTCAATGAACAAAGCGGTTAACAAAAAAATAGAAAAGCGTACTATATACTTATAGAAAGTGAAGTTGTCGTTTTATGTACTTATCGACAGGTGGTCGCTATATTCATTGAAATCATCATTAAAAACAACAGTGTATTTACCTCTCATTAAATGCATTCGTAATTTTTAAGCTCATTTTATAAGAGGTTCGTTGTTTAATAACATAAGAAATGTGTCATACCAATTCGATACGGCTTTTGATTTTATCGATTTATTTAAACCAAATTTCACTTGTTTCAACTAATGTAAACATTATTAGAAAGGTGACGAATATCTTCATCTTAATGATTTATTTTATTTATTTAATTCTTTATTCTTCTCCCAATTATTTAACTATAATTTGTTGCGGATGAACGATCGTGTTACACAATTTCGATCGCAATGTTATGTTATCCTTTTTTCAACTTATATAGTTGCGTTTAACACAACGGTAATTAAGTCGTAAATTACACAACAAGCGCTCGTTAGTTTTATTTATGCTCGAGTGATGACTACTTAACGTTTGTCTTTTCGTTTTTCGTAGCTCTGCAAACGCGAAGAAGTGGGAAATAGAATTGGCTACGCTGAAGAGTAACAACGCGCGTCTAACTAGCGCCCTGCAAGAAAGCACCGCGAACGTGGATGAGTGGAAGAGGCAGCTTCATACTTACAAAGAAGAAAATATGCGTATGAAGGCGAAGTATCAAGCGGATTTGGAAGATTGCAAAGGTAAAAAATTTATTGGATTAATTCAACATTTAAATTTAATACTTCTGTGTTATTTTATGTTGCATTATCGTTTTGATCTACAAGTTCTATTACCATGAATAATAGTCCTTTAGATTTGATATTAATCACTGACTTAATTATTCCAAAGATCTACAATTTCACTGAACAAAGCCGACGCCGCTTACGGCCGAGGCGGTGCAATATGATGACTAGTTTTTTTCAGGTTGATATAATTTTAATCACTAAGCCTCGACCGCAAACGATCTCGGAATCTCTCTTAATTAATTAAAAGATCTGCAACTTCAGTTTATAAAGTCAAGGTCGCTTACGGCCGAGACGCTGCAATATGACATCTAGTTGCAGATAGATATGATATTAATCACTAAATCTCGGCTTAATTACTCCAAAGATCTACAATTTCAGTTGATAAAGCCGAGGTCTCACCTCTATTATGGTGCCTGGTAGTTGATGACTTGATGAACACCCTAACTAAAAACGGATTTAAGATACAAGGGTATGCTGATGACCTGGTAATCACAATCAGAGGTAAATATGATTCAATCATAACTCAGCTAATGCAGAAAGCCCTACTACTCACCAGTACTTGGTGCAGAAGCAATGGGCTCAGCATCAATCCCAATAAAATCGAAATAGTCCCTTTCACTCGGAGAAGGAAGCTGCAAATAAAAGCACCCTCCATTGAAAGTAGAACTATTAACCTCAAAACAGAAACTAAATACCTAGGGGTAATACTTGACAGTAAACTAAACTGGAACTGACACTTAGATAAGGTGAGGAAAAAGGTCATCATGGCAAACCAGATCTGCCGCAGGCTCCTAGGAAGGAACTGGGGTCTCAAACCACGAATGGCTCATTGGGCCTACGTAGCAATAATCAGACCCATGGTCGCCTATGCCTCATTGGTTTGGTGGCCAAAAACAAAACATAAGACAGCTCAACAACAGCTGGCACAAATCCAGCGGTTAGCATGTCTTAACATAACGGGTGCAATGAGATCCTGTCCGACGGCTGCTTTGGAAGCCCTACTCGGTCTCACACCGCTCCACATATATATACAAAAGGAGGCAGCCTTAAGTGCCTTATCACTGAAAACAGTTTCTTCACTCAAGTTGATGCAGGGTAATCTCAGAGGACACCTCGAGATCCTCAAAGACCCATGTCTAAATCACCTGATTGAAATTAAAACGGACCTTATACCGACGGAATACAATTTCAACCAACCGTATAAGGTCATATTTAGTAGCAGGGATGATTGGGCGAAAGGAGGGCCTCAACTAAAAAGAGGAGCCCTAGCCTGGTACACCGATGCTTCAAAGACAGTAAGATCTGGAGTAGGCATGGGCATCAGTGGACCAAATAGCCACATCAAATTGCCCCTCAGCTCGGACTTAACAATTTTCCAAGCAGAAGTTCTTGCTATAAACTTCTGCACCGCTTTGAACCTACAGAAGGGACAAAAAGGTGCATCCATAAACATTTTCACAGACAGTCGGGCCGCCTTAAAGGCAATTCAGGCCTACACGTGTGGCTCCGCACTGATCAGAGAGTGCACCAACAACCTGAGAGAACTCGCTAGGGGCAATGATGTTACCCTATGGTGGGTTCCAGGTCACAGCAACATTGAGGGCAATGAGAAGGCCGACAAGCTGGCCAAAGAGGCAGCAAACACGCCCTTCATTGGACCCCAACCTGGATGTGGACTACAAAAAAGCCACCTAAAACAAATAATCAACAACTGGGAGGCTTCAAAGATAGCCTTACGCTGGAAAGAACTTCCAGGTCACAGACAAGCGAAGAGTATGATAACTCCGTCGCAAAACAAAACCAAAGAGGTTTTATGCCTCAGCAAAGGGGATCTAAGAACGCTCTCAGGCTACCTAACCGGCCATGTGCCCCTAAAATACCACCTCTTCCACATTGGACAAGCTGAGGATCAAACTTGTCGACTATGCAACGACGAGTCAGAAACTGCTGAACATATACTGTGCAATTGCGTCGCCAGAGGCCGTCTAAGGCACAACGTCTTTGGTAAAACTCCCCTGTTACCTACCGACATAAAGGTTCAAGACCTCAGGACAATACTAAGGTTCATTAAGGACCTACATTTGCCCTAAACCTTTGGAGGGCTAAAGTTACAATAGATCTTATAGGTCGCGGTAACGAGAGGGGCCGCCCTCCTCAGCCCGGCAGCAATAATAATAATAAGCCGAGGTCGCTTGCGGCCGAGGCGCTGCAATATGATATCTAGTTTCAGATAGATATGATATTAATTACTGACCTCGGTTTAATTTCTCCAAAGATCTACAATTCCATTGGACAAAGCCGAGGCGGTTCAATTGGTGACCAGTTTCTTCAGGTTGATATAATTTTAATCACTGCGCCTCGACCGCAAGCGATCTCGGCTTAATTAATCAAAAGATCTGCAACTTCTGTTTATAAAGCCGAGGTCGCTTGCGGCCGAGGCGCTGCAATACGATATCCAGTTTCAGATAGATATGATATTAAACACTAAGCCTCGGCTTAGTTAGTCCAAAAGTCTACAACTGTACTGCATAGAGCCAAGGCCGCTTGCGGCCGAGATGCTACAATTTGATGAACTTCGGCTTAATTAGTCAAAAGATGTACAACTTTACTTGATAATGCTGTTCTACAATTAATCTGCAACTTCAGTTGATAAAGCCGAGGTCGCTTGCGGCCGAGGCGCTGCAATATGATATCTAGTTTCAGATAGATATGATATTAATCACTAAATCTCGGCTTAATTACTCCAAAGATCTACAATTTCACTGGACATAGCCGAAGCGGTTCAATAGGTGATCAGTTTCTTCAGGTTGATATAATACTAATTACCGAGCCGAGGCTGTTTATGGCCGAGGCATTACAATATAATGACAACAAAAAGATGTTCCGCACATGTACAGGGTGTCCCAATTTCGATGTCCGCTGAAACGTCTGAAAACCGTTGCAGATAATTGAAAAATATCATTTTTGTATGAATTTATTTGATTTGATCTAGTAAACCATGACAAAAAAGTTAATAAAACACACAATAATACAAAAACTATTTACATTTGTTACAGATGAAATTAATTGATAAAAAATTATATTTTTCAATTATCTGAACGGTGTTAATTTGTAACCATTTTTGATGAAATTTGGTATATGCCCATTTCAAACGGCGCTTAATGCAGTGGTGTACTCAGATTTTTTGTAAAAAATTTCCTAATATGGTTTCTTCATTTTTTGCACCTAAAAAGTGAAATAGTAGGCCTTGGTTTTTTCAAAAAAAATATGACTCTTTGACCTAAGGTACAGTTTCTTACGCTCTACAATACAAAAAAAAATGTGTCGAAATCGCGTAATAAATACAGATTTTACGAGGGTGCTCCGCTTTCAAATAGTTTGTGGGGTATATTTCTTATAGTTATTGAATAGTTAACAAAAATTTATTTTATCTACAACTATTGAATTATCTATTCGTTATACATTTGATTTTTGACGGGTAATGACACGCATTACCCATGACTGACAAACTGTTGAATAATGAAGCCATTATTCCACAGTTCTGACACGGCCTACTAATCAAAAAATAAAATATCAACAGAAATGACAGCTTTCTTATATTGAGGTTATGTCTGAAATGTCTATCAAGTTTATTTTTTTTTCCTTTTTTTGATTTTTTTTTCAAAATTAAATAGTTGTAGATAAAGTATAGTATTCAACTTGCGTATAATGGATGTTACCCACTCAGATTACAACTTCATCTTTGTGGATAACAGCCGCCATTATACGCTTGTTGAATAATATACTATTATTCTATCTAAAACTAATGTATGTATTTAAAAGTTAATGTTGTTATGGTGATAACTATACCATGATGGACAACATTGTTTCCAATTATTGCCAAAGTTTGTAGTAGTATTTAAAAATTCACTAACAACTCTGGCATTACGTGCTGGTGCTCCGTCATATTGAATATTTGAGACATATTTAATGGTAAATTGTCGACCAAAGGCTCAATGTGCTGCCTTAATATAGTATACCTCAATATATTGAGGCAGCACATTATCTGAGTTTAAGTTTTTATGGTAGATACTATATGCCAAAATTCTATTATCTAAAAGGGCACACCATACATTGAACCTGAATCTTCTTTGAACACTCGGAGACTTCAACAGTCTAGATGACATTTTGAAAAAACAGCAGATTATTTAATTTTTCTAAATATCATCTACAAAATTCTAATCTTAGATTGACATCTTTGGCACGTGAATAATGAGTTAGCCCCGCTTTGTATGGTTTATATTTATTTTAATTAATTATGTTGATGGATTTGTCGCAGCTGAAGCCAACACATTGACTTCATCCTCTTACATGTCATTTTGGTATGTTTTTGCACGTGAGTTGGGGAAGGACCAAAAATCCATTAAATTTTCTGCTAATCGGCAGAAAGTTCTTACGTGCTATTCGCGACTAACGTCGCATTCTTATCTGATAACATATAGCATTCCATCATGTTACATTTTTCATAATTTTCGAAATTCATTGTAAAGTTTTATTCAGTTTTGTTATACTTTGACACTTAACATGCTGATGCTCCATACCAACACATAATGCCAGAGTTGTTAGCGAATTTTTAAATACAAACTTTGATAATTATCTGATACATTATTTTGCATCATAGTATGTATGAAAGAAGAAATATACCCAACAAATTATTTAGCTCATAGCCAACTATGGTTTCCATAAAAAAAAATAAAGTTACTTCTAAAATCTCGAAAATAAAAGATGGGAAAAAAATTCTACCTACGCCACTGAATTCTTCGTAAAAAGTTGCCCATATAATGTTTTATTTATAATATTCCATCGTTGATAATAAGTGAGATATTCGCGATTGTCGTTTTCGCAAAATTTTCAATTTTTGCCGATAGGGCGAAAACAAAAGACGATAGCTGTTTGCGGTTTTCGGCATTAACATTTTCTCGAAAAACGAGATCATGACATATAAGCTACTTTTTTTCTATCTCTTTTAGTTTTGGAGATAGCCTATGCCGACAACGAAATTGGAACACCTGTACAGGGTGTCCAAATTTCGATGGGTTTGCAGGGTATCTCAGTTATTATGAAAGATAGAAAGTTGCGGTTTTCGCGAACCTGGGCTACTTTTTTGTGAAACTTACAATGGCGCAAACCAAATTTTCATAGCCCTCTTCGTTTTTGATATACAGGGAGTGTTTGAAATTTACGATTTTCAGACACCTCCTGTATCTCGGCTATCCGGAAACTTA